AATTCAATTCAATTCAATTCAATTCAGTTGCCTGGCCAATATTGCATGTAAACTGGTCAGATATTTGAGCCAGAAACCATGTACCGGTAATTGGTCCTTTCCAGGTGATGTCCAATTCTTTACCTTTTTAACTCGATTTTTGACCATCTCAGTTGTTATTTCTAATACTTGCATTTGTTTGTTGCCAATGCTTTTCTCAAAGTCATGTATCCACTTTGCTTCCTTGTTGTAGTCCTTTGCATCATCATCATCATCATCATCATCATCATCATCATCATCATCATCATCATCATCATCATTATTATTATTATTAAATGGATTTATAGGCCGCCCAATCCCGGTAGGAAGCAAATCAAACTGACATAATTGTTATGCATAATAAGTTGCTACTTAGAGACCTTTGAGTGTCAGACTCCTTTTTACTCATCACTTAGCACATATTCCAGGATTCACAGATAAAGACCAATTTTCTTTCTTCTTGACTTCACTTTTCCTAAGTTTTCTTAGGTGCAGTTTGGGCAAACTTGAAGATAAACAAAAGGAAGGTACAGAATAAAGCTTTTTTTTTTTGCATTTTAAGGGGGAAAGGATGTTTAACATGATTCTGTTTTCATTTTTAGACACTCCAGATTTGAAAATTATTTCAAACTCTCCTGATGAAACCCATCATGCTTTCCCACTAATAAAATTTGTGTAACCAAAAATTCACTTGAAGTATTCTGGTCTTGGTCTTGTCTTGCAATCTTCTTCTAGGGACCAAGAACTTTCTGAGCCATTCCATTCCCTAGCTTTCTTCCTAGGTCTTCAGAATCTAAGGATACATTGTTATAAATATTTTTGTGCAATTTTTCTCTGATATGGATTATGAAATAATTTTCAAATGACTTGATAAGTATTGGAAACTGTTGTACCACATCCATGATCTAGGCATTTGACAGACAACACCCTTGTCATGGTGGTAAATATATATTAGTACCAATGCCATGTAGCAGCAAGACCAAAGTATTCTTTTTTGTACTTTTGCAGGACACAACTCCATCTCCTCTTCCTTTCAGAGATCCACTGTCCTGTCACCTGTCTGTCAATTTGCCCATTTCTTCTGATACTGAAAACAAACAGAAAGCTTGAAGAGATTTCTGAATTCTCAAGCATCAAAAAATATCTCTTGCTTCTGGTTTCAATGTCATTAAATACACTTTCTCCTTGGTTTCATTATTTGCTTCTACTATCAGTTCTTATTATGTCTTAGCCCAGGGGTGTCAAATTCAATTTCATTGAGGGCCACATCATGTTTGACCTTGGGGGACCGGGTGGGCATGGCCAGGGTGGTTGCTTTATATTCCTTCTGCAATTTCTGCAGCAGCCTCAGGTTACTCAACCACACCCACAATGGATAATCAGCAGCTTTCACAAACTGAAGGACATAACTGTTGCAATCAAATGCTGTTAAGATTAACTGTTTACCTGAATACTATCTGGGATTTCCGAACAGCTCATTTTCATCACAATTCACCATTATATAAAAACCCCATAAAACATTATGAATCAGTATCAGATATTTTCTGTGTCATGTTTGTTTAGATTTGAAGCCTGAGGTCTTTACTGTTATTTTACCATTCTGTAAGTTCTATGGAACTTAAAGTGTTAGGCCTGAAATAGTATAAACAAGCATCCATAGGTTTGTATACTGTTTTGCAATGCAATTTCTCTTTTGTAGGCCCATGCCGAAACTCCTACTAAAGGGGTGTGAAACTTGCGGTCCATGGGCCAGATGCATCATGTGCTGGTCACGCCCACCTCCATTTTAGCGAAGGGGAAAAGTTGCAATATGTCACATGATGATGTGTCGCTGTGAGTTTGACACCCCTGTCCTACCACATTATGTCACCAGTAGTCAGTAGTCATGATTAGCAACATTGTGGCTACATGAGTGAATCGTTTCAAGAAAGCTGAAATAGGACAAAACCCACCACTTTTATGAACTAAACTTATCTTTCTGCTAGCATTGTATATTTTAATATTTCAGGAGCAACAGTTTAAAGATTTTATTGAGAGCTAGGGGACATATTTAAAGTTTCATCCACAAATGTTTTGACACTTTTCTCACAAGTATTGTACATGAACCTTCAGGGATGGCAAAGAATCTATATATTTTGAAAGTGTAACATTATTGATTCCTGTGTATGGCTTACTATTAAGATTTATTAATCCTTGTGATCAAATAATGACTTATATGTGTCCCAATCAATACAACTTGCACTAATAAATCTTAATATTGGCAAGCAGAGTCAATACCTACTTAGGGATTTTCAAACTGGTAGTATAAAATGATGATGTAACGTATGCAGAATTGTGATGACCACTTTTCAGTTTTTGTTGACATTTAATTTGATTCATTCTTTACAATCTCTATAACTTTTGATTTCACTCAAGCCCTATGCCTTCATACACAGCACACAATTCCTTAAGAAAACTTCAACATATAGCTAATAAACAATTACAGCAGCAACAACAACAACAATAATAATAATTTCTTATTTTTTCCATCAGCAAATAGGATGGATTTGAACAGGATATTTAGCTTCAGATTCTCCAGAGTTACCAAAAGCAGGGGAGAAGAGATTAAAAACCTTTAAAAATTTTGTGTTTGTTTGTTTGAATGTGTGCATGTGTGTGTATGTGCCTTCGAATCAGTGTTGGCTCCTGGTAATTGTCTAGAGAAGTCCTGCAGTTTTCTTGCTAAGATTTCAGAAATGGTTTTCTGTGAACTAAGGCTGAGAGATAATGACTGGCATAAAATCACCGATCTGGCTTTGTGCCTAAATCAGGGCTAGAACTCATGGTCTCTTGATTTCTAGTCTAATGTCTTAAGCACTACACCTAACTGGCTCTCCCATATTATGTTTATATTTATAGGAATAGAAAAGAAATTGCCCTCCATTTTGTAAAAAATGTTGTACTGCAGCCTTCTGGAACAGATTTTCAGGGCCACATGGAAGAATGTAATGTTCTATCCTAATGACATGGATAGAAGTAAAAATTTTAGGCTGTGCACCAGGGGTGGGTTTCAACTGGTTCGCGGCGGTCCCTGCGAACCGGTTGGTCGCCGAACCCGGAAGTAAGTAACTTNTCTATTCTATTCTATTCTATTCTATTCTATTCTTTACAGTGGAATGGTGTTATTATGCTCTCCCAGAACAATTCGTACCTGTAACACATAATCAAATAGTTTTCTCTAAAATAGCAATGTTACATTATTTTGTAATCTCAGACACCTTTTCTAATTTCAGCAGTAGACATCAGTGCCCTAAATTAAATACCCTCCATTTGCTTCATAATAATGAAGTTCTAATCCTCTGCCTGAAAAGCAACTTCTGCCTCATAATTACACCAGCTTTGAAAATGAAAATTGAATGGGTATGAATTCACATCCATTCCCTTTTTGATGGTTGAGCATGTTTCAAGAAATCATCTGTCATGATTACCCAGATTCAAATTCAATGAAACACTATGTTCTAATGAGCCAGTGCACCAATGTGGTAAAAAGAGATATTATGCTAAAATATGTAGTTCCTCTGTTAGTGGATTACAAGGGTGTTTTGCTTTGGATAATATTTAGATATGTAAATCACTCGCCACAGGCTCAATTACAGTTGTTTTGTGCTTTTGTGTCCATGGGTATTGTTTAGAATGCATTATCCATTTTGTCCATTTAGAAATCTCTTTAGTTGTTGACTTGGAGTTGCTTTGTTGCAATATTTATAAGCTTCTTTTTATGTGTTTTTAAAAGAAAAGTGAATTAGCCAAATAATGAAGTTAAAATTACAAACTGTTTGATAGCTGTTTGAATAAGGATTCTTTTTTTTCAAAATTCTATTTTTCTGGAGCATTTTGCAAACCACATTCTTTTAGCAAAAAGCATTCATTTTATTACTTGTAAAGATAAAAGCCTAATTAAATGTTACACAGCCTTTCTATAAATCAAAAGCACTACTAATCATGACTGCCATACTGCTTACAAAGCTATAATACAAAGAAGTCTAAAGAATGAGAACAAGCATCAGAAAGGAAAGGAAAGTGTGCTGGAATTTCATAGCTGGTATCTTTTCAGCTAAGATCAGGGGACATACAAGATGTGTAATTCACAAGGTTGATCAAGCATTATTTAAAAAGATAAACTTTGGAAATTGCACTTGTTAATAACATAGGCCACCCAGGCATCAAACAAAGGCATTGAGCCACTAGGCTTGGAATACTGGTGGTTGAAACACATTTTTTTTGTAACAGTTATAAAAAGTTATAACGCTTAGGATATTTAAATTTGAGTAAAATGAGTAAAATGTAGAAG